TGATCAGTAAATTCTATAAAATAACATGTTACACTATACAATAATGATCGTATTCGTATGTCTATGTTTATTTTAAAATAATTAGTAATATTATATGTAGATGGGAGAATGTGTCTATCTGATGAAAATTTTGGTTATGGCATAGATATTGATTATACATTGGCTAAGGATATAAGCATACTTCTTGTTGCGTATATAAAACATTAAGGTGATGAAAGTATGTATGTAGTATCAATTATTTTTCAAAGGATACAAAACTTGTCACCAAAATAACTGACTACTTGATTCATCAATTCTACGCAGTCGCGGCCATCAGCTTGCTATGTATAAAATACACACTCATCTATAAGTTCCCGATAACCGCATGTTTTAAATATATTTCCTAGATAAATTAATTCTCAAGATGGGTACATAATATAAACTTTAACCAACGCCAAGTTTTTTCTGCCTTCGAAGTATTTCAGAAACTTCATACCAATTTATTATCTTTTTATTATAAAAAAATAAACATAAAATCTGTAAAAGTGAGTTTCTTTCACAGATTTTTTTGTTTATTTTATGATGTTAAATATTAGTATGAAAATTCTATTCTATACTACGTTAATCGAATGAAAATTAATAATAACCATGGACAATTCTAGTAGCGGTTTGTATTGGGGTTTTAGAAATTATTTACAATTTCGAACTTTACTTCTTGAATTAAATATAGATGTTCCCTTTTGGTTCATACCGTGACTTAGAAGAACTATTTTGCTTAGCCCTAATTTCTAATTCGTTATTATTCTTTAATGGGTCAGAAATGGGATAGAAAATGGAAATATTTACTATTTATGTAAATACATCATGAAACTCCAGGAGTCTACTAAACACCACAAATTGAAAACACTAAGTTGTATCAGAAGTAAATGTACGATGACTATCCGTGAACTAAAACTAGAATACGAAACAAATCCAAGTATAGACAACTGGTAACATTAGGTATATACGAGTAATCTCACCGCTACGTTGAAAGATATTTTCAAGCCACCTGGACTGGTTTTAATAAAACATCAGATGCTTTTAATTTGCCCACGATAATATGGTGTGTCAGTGACAGCTATAGGCAAAGAGCAGGTAATTCAATGATACACCTGCACGAAGAATGCACTTCGAGAACGATCTCACCCAGTGCATAACTTACAAACAATGTAACTCTTTGCTTTTGACAGTAAATAATTATAGCCATTTTTCAGGATACAAAAAAAACTGGTGGGAATTAAAATACTTTGATAATTTGAACCCCTTTATTATATTCTATTAATAAATTATAGACACTCAATATTTTTCGCAACATTCTCACAGACTACCTGTTGTACGTCACTCAACGGAGGCTACCTTAAAATAGATCGTTGGAAAATTTACCCCACACACACAGTGTAGGTGTGCGAGAGTGGCCTACGACCTCGACACAGTTGCTAAAATACTTAATGTCGGGCTACATTTTTATATATACTCAACTCTATGTGAATAACTTCAGGATTCTCATAAAAATAAAACAAATGCTTTGTCCAGCCGAGTCGACTCGTTAAAAATCCTGCCAGGATGAGAACTAACGAGTCCGGCATTAAAAAACCGTCCCTTGCAGGCGGTCATTGGCAGCGGGTGGGTCGGTCCGCATTCCTGTGCGCTAGCGCACCGCACGCACTCGCACGCCCACACACACCGGCCGCGCTGTACACGCTACTAACCGACCTATCGATGACGAACCCTTTTGACGTACAAAGTGGCCGGCTTGAATGTATATACAATCTGAGCGTGTCGGAGGTGGCAGCCTGCCTGCGAGGAGGCAGCGTCCGTCCATACATATTGAAGTCGTTCATTAATAACACGGCCGAGCGCGTCACGGCTTCCGGCGGCCGCTCGACACCCATCGGCATGGCTATTCAAATATGATTTGAATTCGCACGAAGCTGTTGTCAGTTACACAATGCCATACTAATAATACAAGTTCTGTGAGCGAACTGGAGTTATTGTTTTCAACGAAATGAATTGTCAATGGCGCTCTATCAATGCTATGCAATGCATTATAGCTAATGTATGGAGATGACACGGATGAAGTCGGAGTTATGGATCGAGATGTTATATAGGTAAACGAAATAGGTAGTGTCGTTGCCATTATCTGATCTTTTGGAATGGCATCGGGGTCGCGTGGGCGAGCTCCCCTGAATGGACGTGTCGGATGGTCATCGCCCACGCACGGCCCACGCGGCACGCCGCGCCGCACGCCCCGAGCCCCACGCCGCGCCGGCACCTACTATGTGCCTAGTTAGGATAGTACCTGCTCCATGGCTGCCCACTCGTTCACTGAATAATTATCTAGATGACCACCAACGCTCTTATGGCACTGATCTAATTTGCTGTTATTGGTAGCGATAGCGATAACGTTATACTGACTTATTTTTTCTATAAAACGCGCTCCTTCTTAATTTGCAACTGTTTTCCGCGCCGCTTCTTCAGAAGTTAAATACCAAGTGATTTATAATAATTGTATGGTCTAACTGCGTTCTTGAATCATGAAGTTATTCTTTAAGATTAATCCACTAATTATTATTTAATATATTCAGTTCAGACTAAAATAGTTATAATACCTACTTTTAAACGAAATATGAACTTGACATATTCTAATTGGAATGTGTATTGATAAATTTCAGTAATTTTAAATCATTGTAACTCCTAAGTCTATATTTAATAGTAGGTATAAATTATTTTCATTATTATTTCGGCCCAAAGCTTCAACAATTCATTATCCACTCGTGAACACATGCCTCCCCATACACTACCATTAGATGAATTAACTTCCTGCAACATATTACACGTCATACACATTTAGCGGAAAATCGCCCTGCGTTCACCTATAATCATCATCGCCTTATAGTTTCTCGGTTCTTAGAACAGTTGCCGGCTTATTGCTACTTGAACTCACCGATCCTTAACTCTATATTATATCCATCATTTCAACATTCAACCAATAAGTTTTAATCCATCCTATCCATCCATAATTGGACGGATAGGCTTAAATTAATTACTGCACTCATGTATCATTATCATGTACATATGTGAATTGGTATATTATATGGGCACTATTGTAAAGTCATCAAAGTACAAAGTCGAGCAGAGGTCATGTGTATCTTTTAGTAAATCAAATTTGGAAGTAAAAGTATAAATGTTCGTTACAAGCATAAAACGTTAACTCCATAGTAAAGCTGTAGTCTCTATTCGCAGAATTTGGTGAAAATAAAAAGTTTTTATTGGCAATAATCGTAAGCGATTGCTCAATAACCACTGGCTGTGAGAATCTTCAATGTATAGTCGTAAGTTTCTTGTCTATGAAACCACTGGACAGCAGCGTGATCCCCTAATTTAATAGCTTTGAAAACAGCAAACTGAATGGCGGTGAGACGATTGAGAGGGCGAATTTGGAAAAGTGTCGCGTGGGAGTAGACGCGTTGGAGTCGAGGGGCACCGTGAAGGCCGCGGGGTGTGAGGGTCGCGAGGGGTGAGGGGGCGAGAGTAAGGACGCGGCACTGTGTGGGCGGCCATTGAGCCGCGGGGGCAGGTGAATGGTGAACCCCGGAGCCTCTTCCCCCATTGAGCAGCCCGCGATCGATCGCTGCCTCCGCCCGGCCCGCCCGGTCTGCCCGGCCTCGCCGCCTCGCCGCCTCGCCACCCAGCTACGAACCGACAGACATGCTCCCAACTTACCGCGTAAAACAATGCCAATTCAAACGTAATCCTTTACTTGATATTAAATGTATACATGGTACAAAAAAAAGTATTAATATCTGTTTCTATGGTTTGCTTGTTGTTCTTACCACGATGAACATAGCAAACACAATTGAGCCAATAAGTAATTCGTATGAACGTTTTTATATATTCTATCTAGGTTATATACACGCTGTCAAATAAGTAGAAGGCGGTGCTAACCGACGTGATGCTAACTTTGTTGTTGGAAAAAAAGTTTAAGTTATTAAATTTACTAATTACACTAATTATGCCTACAACCACTATACAAATATAGACAATATATGAATTAATTTCTACCACAATAGCTCGCTTGACACATCTAACAATTTATGGCTTCATGTACACAAGCGGTCACACACCATGCCACCATCACGTGATTGATACTAAACGCATTAGTTGCCTATGTGTTTAATGGATAGCCTTCGTTATTGGATTATCTTGATCATTAGGTTTCATTAAATCATTCTAGATATAAACTAACGAAAACTTACTGTGGCCATAATTATATTATTATGTAATCTGTGAGATTAAATAATAATGTAATTATTAAGTATTGGTATTGCGCATTTATTACATTAATGTAATATTAGTACCGAGTGTTAGGTATACTGTCGTAACTATTATGTAGTATATTGTTTAAAGTTATGACACTAACATAATATGTTACAAAGTTGCAACTGCATGACTCAAGCAATATTTTCCCTGCATTTTTCTTTGTTCTACGTCTAAGTACACTAAATTATATGTGACTGAGGTATTCTATGCAATTCTACAACTATGTTTCTGTAATTGTGTTATAGTCAGTAATTGAGATGGAAATTTGCTGAATTTCCTAATTTTATACATAGCTGATAAGGTGGTGTGTAGCTGATAAGGTCACTAAACCCCATTATTAAAAGTCCTTTCTCCGTCGTTAGTAAGGATTATTTTCCTATTTTTTTTAATGGAATGGTGCACTCGCTAACGGTAGCTGCCCCTAGCAAGACACCAGTGGGGGATGATGAGTCTGACCTCATGTCGGGTCAGTCAAACCATAGTGGCAAATTCACCATGAATTTAACGTGGTGGTTTCCAGGGGCAATCGCGTGGTGGTCAACTTGACGTGGTACATCGCTAGCAATGGAGTTATTTAATCACCACCACATCACTAACAATCCCCTATTATTTTCATTGTAAAATATTAAATTATAAACGTAACCACTTTTTTAAATTTACAGATCACTTCGCATATCCGGGTCTGGCTGTGAGGAGGGCCTGTCGTCCGGTTCATCATCAGAGTGCGAAGAAACACATACCCAGGTCCAGCAGGAGTTCCCCATCGAGATTCTACCCAACCTGTACCTCGGCAACTCTACGAACAGCGAGGACTGCGACGCGCTCGCCAGACATAATATAAAGGTAATTCCAATTTTTTTGTTTGTTAATTTCTTTTGCCCTTTGCATGTATCAATTCGTCTACGGATTTCTGAAAATTGTAATATTCAGTAATGGTTTATATATTTTTTCATCAGTAGTGTTAATTCAAAGCACCTTGTTCTAAATATTGACGCGCGCTATATTATCCATATAGCAGTAAAATCACTATTCGATTATTATATTTAGCGTATAGAGATATACTTTGTGCGAGTCATGTACATAAGTGTCTTTTAAATGTCAAAATCGCAAAATATGTATGGATTTGAACGATATTTTTTATTTTTATTGAACAGTTCTTTAATGTTCTTATTAGCAAAATATGTTCAAGCCATTTTTCAGTTTACCTACACCTGTTATCACGGTATTTGAAAATAACAAATAGTATTGATGTCGAACTATAAGCGTCAAGTATGTTACGAATAATTTACTTTGCAAGGAAAACACGCGATAATTAATACAAATAATTAATCGTAGAATGAGATAGCACCTATATCTTTGTCGATATCATGGCATACAATGTACGATGCGACTACAACATCCTGTATCTTGCGCAATCTACTTGCATTTATCTATTTTGTTAAAACTGCTAATGTCTGTATTAATTGGTTTTTACAGTACGTACTGAACGTAACTCCGGACTTACCGAACACATTTGAAGCTGAGGGCTGCGGCATCAACTACCTCAAGATACCGATCGCTGATCACTGGAGTCAGAACCTCGCCGTTCATTTTCCACAAGCTATACGGTTTATAGGTTAGTAAGGCGCGAAAAGGTCATCTATAGATAGAGCTACATTATAAGCGTACATAGACTGTATTCCATACAGGCAGCACCGCACGATTCTGCTAGTTTTTAATATTTTCTATTAGTGTAGAATTAATGTATCTCCATAGTAAACTAACACTGAGTTAAGCAATTTAGCCATTTAACTTACTTACTAAATCGTTACATTAAAATTGACATATACGAATATGTTCATAGTAAACTCAGTATTTTTGCTAAATTCTACCATTCTTGTATATCTCTTTGCTTCGCTTTATCTACAAGTTCGCGGTTCCTGATACATTTGCGATACACTGTCTATTTGGTCGACATACATCCGTCAAATTATTAACATTGAAGTCAAATATAATGTTTAAAATTCTGATACCGCAGAGGAGGCGATGTCGGCTCGGTGCGGCGTGCTGGTGCACTGCGTGGCGGGCGTGTCGCGGTCGGTGACGGTGACGCTCGCGTACCTCATGCAGCGACACCGGCTCTGTCTGCGAGACGCCTTCGAGCTGGTGCGCAGCCGCAAGACCGACATCGCGCCCAACTTCCACTTCATGCGTCAGCTGCACTCCTTCGAACGGGACCTCGGCCTCCACGAGCACAGCGCCAGCCTGAGTAAGGTCTGCATTGTATCTACGTCACACAATTAACGGTTCGCCCTGCACTCGTCCGTCGCCGTTTTCCTTTGATCTGCGTAATCAGTGACAGTCCTAAAGTTAAAAATGAGGCAAACGTGTCGCATTCGAATGTTGCGCGTGAAAATATAAATTTTAGCTTAGTTTAACTGAGGCAGGTAGACAGATAGATTTTATATCAAATCGTCGTATATCACCTATTTCTGCCGTCGAGCAGCTTCCTCTGTAAGCTGTGTTTTGGTTTGCAGGATGCGGTAATGAAACTGCAGGGTACGGAGGCATAACAACTTAATCATCAGGTATGCCAACCCACGAGGTCTGCCAAGGGAGTCGCATGACTACCTGTTTATGTGGTGCTGTTAGTCTGCATAGTTATAGCTGTATAATACGTAGTATAGCGTAGGATAGTAGAGACAGCCTGATCGTTCAGCACGCGTAACGGTCACTGGCGTAACGGATGCGTCGCAGAGCGAACACCTCGGTCGCGCTGCGGTAAGCGAGTGCGTGACGGCGGCGCTTGTGTCGTAGGTGCTGGAGGAGCTGGGCGTGCGTGAGCTGGGGGCGCGCGGCGAGGAGGCGGGCGCGGGGGGGCCGGGGGGCGCGGGCGGCGCGCTCGGCGCCACCGGCGGCGCGGGCGGCGCGCCCGGACGAGCCGCGCCCTGCGGCTGCGCGCCGCCCGCCGGCGTCTCGCCGGACTCCGGCATCGAGTTCGACCGGTGGAGCGCGGCGCGCGACACGCCGCAATGACAGTTCTTCACGCCGCCGCACCAGCGCCCGCACCCGCCGGCCTGAATCGGCCCGGCGGACCGGCCGGACCCTCCGCCGCACGTAGCTTCCGACATCTCGACACCTTTCGACGCTCGAGAACATCGCGCAACATAATATATATACCGGAAATGGTATCTGCGGTTACCGTCCTCACTCGGTACCGGATTTGCGCAAGTAGACCCAATATTTGCACAAATTGTTTATGTTCGAGTAGCCGTGTAGGTCGCGGCTTTGCAGGCGTATTTGAAGCTATGTCTGGCGTCGGCTTTAGGTCGTAACGTGTAGTCACTAATTGTACAAAATACGTTACTGTGCTAGACGCAATTGTGATTCGGAACCTCCCCGAATCGGACCGCGCCGTGGTGAGACAGTGGAAACGATCACGTCGACGCTACAGTGAGATCGCTACTGTGAGCTGACTGTGAGAGTGCTACCTATACCAGTGAACTTTTTGTAATATGCATTCGATAATCTATATTTTCTATTTTAGAGTAGCGAAGACGTGAACGTTCGCGGCCATGGATTTGTATCACAATTTCCTATAAATGCTTACATCATTTTAATATAATAACATAGTACAAGTCATTAGAAAGTTTAGAAAATATTAATGTAATTAGTACGTAAGCCGTGTTACTACGTAGTAGGCGCACAGGCGTATCCTTATAGTACTTCTAGAAGCGTCCCGCGAGCGAGCTATGGGAAGCAATAATTTTAGGATCCATTGTGTGTGAGCTTGTAACAATGATTCATTGGATAAGCACACTTGATAAACAAATATAGTCGTTCTCGCACGCTGCGAATTCTTTTACACCTTTACAAATAAATATATATAGTGTAGGTAGGCCTGTATTATAGTGGTGCACTTACATTATTATGGCGATGGAAAAACTGAGATTGATCTGTTTAGTGCCACAAAGTATATTTCATAGGAGTAAGTGTAATGGAATGTGTGTATAAAATATACGTTATACATATTGTTTAAGTCAATTTTATAAGTTTGATATCGATATAAATATATATTAGAAGTATGGATACACATATTGAAATGCATTCCCTAATATATCTTCCATTAAAGCTGTGCATTTGTGTCCATTCGAATTTATTTCAAGACTATTTTTATATGAATATTATTATTTTATTTATGAATAATTTAATTTCATGAATACAATTGTGTTGTCCATAATTGTTTTCTCCTCTGTGAGGGGACGAGAATAGAGCGCCCGCGCCCTCGTCGGCGGCCGATATTAAGTGCCACATACATTTATATTATTATATTTATATTATATGTATACAAGAGTATGATTTGCAGAAGCGGCATTTAACAGAGCGTTGGTTGTTACAGAATAATTATATTAATAAATCATGTATATTTTTAATAGAAGGTTCTAAGGAACGCAGGGCTTCTGATGACTCTTCCATTGTTGTTGAATATTGTATTGATGTTGATGTGCGAATGTGCGTGTGATATACATAATATGGTTAGATTTAGTTCTTTGTAATAACATAATTATAATTATAAACAGTGCACGGACCACTATAGTTGGTATTGAAGTATTGTTGGTTGAATGTGGGGAAATAACGTACTTGCATTTACTGCTCTATTATGAAAACTAAATTAAATTTCAGAGAGTTTATGTCACAAGACTGACATCTTTGTATTTATTTTCAATCTCATGGATATTATAATTCACTCGCATATAAGTCGTACTAAAATAATCTGGTATGTCGTGTATAATATAATACTACAAAGTAGTAAAAAAATATTTGGAGACCACAAAACAAATGTACAATATTATTATTGTTTTGCACAAATTGCAATAAAAGTAACATTTTTAGCAAACAAATGGAATATCTTAATGTTTTTATATTTTAGAGCAGTAGAAAGATTTAATAAAAAATATGTATGTATTTGAAAATTTACAAGTTTGCCAGATTTTAGAATGAACACTCTTCACACGTGATTCGCATATAGAACCGACCAGAACACCAGTATTTATTTTTGTAACTTTTGCGATATTTGAATCCAATGATATTTGGAAACTGGCAGACAATGAATGATCAGTCATTGTTTGTAGACCTAGTTCGTAATAAATATATTAATATTGTTGTTTTGAAACGAATGAATATGTTCTTATATTAGTAGCAATTTACGGTTATTTACATGAAAAAGGAACACTTACAGTTTACGTCCTAAGTAATTAGTAAGTTACAAGAACGATACGTATTGTCTTAGAAGAAAGATTAAAGATATTTGTTCATACTTTACTCTAAGTTTTTTTATATTCTAGAACGATTCACAATGTGGCAATATGCACGTCGTTGGTACCAAACTGTTTTTGTTTGTACATACAAGTCTAATAAAGTACTTCACTTGTAAATAGTAGGCGGCAGGCAAATGTTAAGTATGTTAATAAAATTAAAAGTATAGAAATTGTTATTGTACATTTGTTGTAGAGTTAAGTATGATATTCATACGAACATTATAAATTCTTTATAACAAATTGTGTCAGCCAATGGTGAATAAAAATTATATAATTATGCACTAATTAGTGGTATCTATTAGTTGTTACGTAAGTGACAGATGTCCGTTATCATTAATTCTTTAAATTTACGGTAATAATTACTGATGTTCCTATGAATATTATCGTATCGTATATCGTACCTACCATGCATACTGATATTTGAATGTCAAGCAATGTTAATACTATTTTAATAATTGAATGGTTGAAAATGTAACGTTGTTTTGATTTGAATGTTACTCAGAGAATTATGTACAATTATAAAATATTTTAATATTTTACGACAGAACAGTCGATCCGTTTTGTGCATAGTCTCTTCGCACAAACGTAGATTCCGTTATAGTTTTAATTTTACTGCTAAACTGAAAGTTCAGTCTGATATTGAAAGGTGGTTTTGTGTGAAGAGGGACGGGAAATCATTCTCTCCCTATTACATGACGATTCCCACCGCCCCTCGAGTCGCCATACCATCCCTGTATTCGCTAGGGAACGCTGTGCACGAACTGGACAAACTTTAATTAATCTTTGCATAGGAATGTAATTAATTATTTCCATAATTTGTAAAAACTTTTTTATTAATTTCCAGGAGATTATACCACAAAATATCATGTTATTGTACAATGCCATTCGTAATTAAACATTTCATTATAATCATAATAGATATGCATTATACATAGTATTTTTTGCAATTTTCCACTATGAGTTCGTATTTAAATGTACACGCTCTGGCCGTGCTCACTGATGGTATGCCTTGAAATTAAATTATAATAATTTAATGTTTATATATTCATGCTGCTGATATGGTAGTTCTAAACATTTTATTGACATGTTCCATGCTTTGGTATTGTAATTTTGAAAGCTTTATATTAATCCAATATATAGGTGATACAAGTTTTTCACGGCAACCAATAAATTATATTTATTCGGTGAGCACTGGTTCTTATATAATTAGTGTAATAAAACCAGAGTAACTGTAACTAGTCTATTGTTTGCTATAATTTGTTTCATATATTTTAAAAATATACCAGACACCCTGGACTCGTGACAAGTTCATCAAAGCTTTTCTATTTATACAAAAGAAAATAATACATGTCTCTAAACAAGATGTCGTAATTCATAGATTTTATAAGTTTTTTTTTTCAAAACTGATCATGGTTGTAAAATAGAAACGACTTGAAACCGTTGTAAATTGCCTGTAGGCCGAAATGTATACTGACTTAAATGTATAAGTAAACGTTTCTGAATTATGTAATATACACTTCGGTTGCACGTAAAATTTATATTTCTAGACGTAATGTAATAACTCTATAATTATTGTAGTGCACAAATCACAAAATGTCGGGCAGACACAATAGGAACTAAGTTGACTTAGTTGTTGTTGTGTAATCGACGTTCATATTGAATCACATAATAATGTAATGTAATTTGTATATATATTATCGTAACAGCTCTGTTTAAATGTAACATTAAATACGTGTTAACTGACGATGTTGATGATGATTTAGAATCTTTTTAGTGCTTTTTCCTAAAGGTACCTAAACGCCACACGGCACACGTAATATTAACCTCAAAACAAAATATAAACACTGTTAAATTATTTTGTATTTTATTTACCGTCCTACCCTACTTAACCCTACGTAATGTTTACAAATAATTAATTTAATACTTACAAATAGCTGTCGGTTACTCTTTCAATCACCTCTACCTTCTTATGCCACTCTTTGATTTACTTTATTCAATAGTGCTGTAGGGAATATTTAAATCAAATGCTAATGTCCTGATTAGGATTCATAGATTTATACTAGATTTTTACTCGAACTATTCTAATGCTGTAGGCCCCAGCTGGCCTTTACAGCTTCACGAGACGATATTTCATAGAGTAAATCTATTCTTATTGTTTTGCTTCACATAAAGATTGCGCCGTCAGCTTATTAGCCAACTTTAATTACAGTAAAGTCAGTACACGTAAAAAGGACAGAAATAATAACACTTTCTTGTTATTTTATTTATTTTAAGAGTTGAAATACAATTATTACTGTTTATAGCAATACAGATAGCAAGTAGTTTGTATAAACTATTCGAATTACAATTGTATAATAAATTGAAGCTATATACCTAATTGTTCAAGTGTATTTACATACATTGTAAAACCATAAAAATATTCCATTCTACAAATAAATCTCAATCTCTTGCTAATTGACTATCGTTGGGTGAATACTGGGAAAATGTTAAAATATCCCCCAGGAACTAAACTAATTATCCAATAGGCCACGAGGTCTCTTCTCCGCGTTTAAACTCTGGATATAATATTTAAATAAACATTTACATATACAAACAGGTATATAAAACCTTGCGATTGTTATAGGGATTTTACTACCTACATTATATACAATAATATAAATTGGTGCCTTGAGATATTCATTAAAATTACTTAGCGACCAGTTAGCATGAACTCGACCACCAAGAAATAACTCCAGTGAAAGACCACAGTTCACATATTTGGTAGTCAAGGCCTAGCTACCTGGTGTTGTGACCATATAGTTGTAGAGCTGCCCTTAAGTAGGAATAATCCGTGGATGCTCACTTTGCCACAAGGGATACATTTTGGCACAAAGATGTGCTTACATTAATATTAAATTATTATATATACAACAAAGGCTTCACAATGATTTATTGCTTTATGTTGAAAGTCAAATACAGCATGAAATGTTACTAGAGTATTATAATGTCATAAACACTGTGTTATACACATAACATTTATGACTAATGTTTTCCAGAAGATTTATAGGAATGATTCATATATAGCAATTCGAATTAAGAAATACTCTTTGGAATGTAACGAAGCTTATAGATGTAAGTAGAAGTGAATAATATCGTTGGACAGCACAGTATAGGAATCACATAGGATATGTAAAAATATTAAATAAGATACTCAAAAAGGCACCCGCCGACTTGGGAATCGTTATATTGGTCCTCTCTAACAATAAAATTCTATCATAAGTATAAAACCGATACTGTTTACACATATTATTATATAATGGCACGTAATTTAGACAAATTAAATTACTCACAGTTTCCAACGTGCCGTCAATATGTCCGTACACAATATAATTAAAATATATTTCATTTTGGAATATAACCAAATAATTGTATACATTAGCATCAATCTTGTTACAATAACGTCATTGCACTAGCTGCTAAGGCGACACGTAAACGTCGATTAAAATCCATTACCATAAAAATATATTATATTCATTTGATCGAATAACTTATCATCTAGATTGACATGTAAAATTGGTGCTATGTTTCAGTGAAGGCATATATCCATGGACCACGCTAGTGTACATATATAGTAGAAAAGATCGTGCGGTTCCCCTCTACTACCCGCAAGTTTCAAAATATGGATATTCTATTATGGACCATATCAATAAACTATCGCTTATTTTCAGTATAATTCATAAGAATTTATATCATATAATACTGAACTTATAGAACATATTCTATTTAAATTCAAGTGAATAACATAGCTATATAATTTGTTTTAGTATATAATCAGCAGACGTCGTTAATGTACTGCATCAATGTCCCGCTGCGCGCGCGATATTTTCACCTAGAAAGCAAATTAAGATTTACTTTGATTTTCTTAGAAATAAATTGTATAATATTATTTAAAGACATTATTTTTTTATTGCATAACTTAATATATTTCTCTTGAAATTAAAAAAGCGGGGCAATAATAATAACGTTTGTAGGCAGAGTACTGTCTATGTCCATAAGTCTCATTTGTGTGTGAACTTTCAATATAAAGCCTCAATTTCGACAGTACTTTTTTGCTTACGGTACATTCAAGTTTATATGTTACAGAATTGTTAAAAACTATCATCCATTCGGTGAAATTCCATTGGTACTACTTCGATTTTTAATTTGAATTTTATAGTATAAATTTATGATTGTTTGAAACAAAAAAAAACATTTAATAAGTTACCTTATCTTTAGGCGTGGAGCTTTCACCCGACTCAAGTGCGAACATTTTCATCTTTTCCTTGAAAGACAGTTGTTCTGGAATGGGCGTGGTAGTCGCGCGTGCTTGCTGCTCGGCCAATCGACGTGCACGTGGATCTCTGTGAATAAGACACTTAGCAATATTCTTGGGTATCAAGGATCAAAGTCAAGGACCAGGTTATGTGTAAGAGATTGCTTTTTTTGAAAGTCTACCGGTATAGTATAGTTATATATTTTCCCATATACTTTTCTCCTTTTTGCTATAAAGAGTTATATGTATATATATATATTTATAATAAAAATCTAGCTAGCAGAATAAAAGTGTAAGGCAGAATGCAAATACAGGTAAACATAGTAGTGATAACATACTGGATTTATACGTAAGGTAATATAATAATGTTCTCGAGCATTTTTGTAATAAATAAGTATTACTGCAAAATGGCGGACATCTGACCATAATGGTAAGATTCAATTACAGATTTCTTGATAATTTATAATCCAGAAACGTGTCTACAGACAACAAAATCTTAAAAGAAAATGTAGAGATCAAAAACACGAAAAAGTATACGCAGAAAAAGGTATACATACAAACATTCAATCACGATTGCGCACGCTCGCTTTCCATCTTTATATCGGACGCGTTGCTGAACGTGCGTTAAATAACGTGTCTTGTAAAAACAGCCGAATATTCTGTTCCTAGGCGCGCCAATGTGAACCCGCACAATGACGTAATTATGGATGGACGGAAAAAGTTAAGGTACATACCTGTAGACTTCCTGGGCGCCAATAACGCCCGGCGTGTGCGCATGCGGCGCAGTCTGTGGTGAAGTCGGCGACGGAAGCTGCAGTAAACTCTCCGCCTCCTCAATAAAACGCTGCATCAAACATATATCTTTCATTTACTTCATTCATCGATAATATTTATTATTATGCGCGTAACATAATGTCCTCACTATATTATGCATTATAAATAAATATTATAGAACAAGAGACCACTAAGTAAGGGGGTCATGTATGAATCGGAGCATTTGGCGTTCCATTGTCTCGGCCTACCCCAATGACAGACGAACGTGACAATATGTATTGTATGCATGTAAACCTAGCTTGCAACGTGCAAATACTTGCAAATTACGTGTTAGGTACATATATTTGAACTTCAAATATAAGTTCAGACTTTCATCAAACTTTAAGGGTACCCAAGTTGAAATGTAAGTAGCGTGCGCTATTTGCAGTTTGTGCTCAGTCCTGCATGAGAACTGTGAGTGTTCACAACGGATATCCAGCAAGACCACATTTGTTTGTATCATATGTGTTAGTCTAAGACAACTAATATAAAAATGGGCGTTCCTCAAGGTTCAATCTTAGGGCCATTTCTCTTTTTAATTTATATAAATAACCTTCCCTACATGGTAGAGAAAGTTGCAGATATAGTGTTATTTGCGGATGATACTTCGTTAGTGTTTAAAATTGGTCGCCAATGTAATCATTTAGACGATGTAAATTATGCTATCTCTGCTATATTAAATTGGTTCACATGTAATAATCTATTATTAAACTCCAACAAAACTAAGTGTATTAAATTCATGCTTCCTATTGTAAGACAAGTAAATATGCAGCTATTGCTTAATGATGAAATAGTAAATTTTGCTAATGATAGAGTTTTTTTAAGAATAACAGTGGACTCGAAGTTACAATGGGGGCCCCATATTTCAAAATTAGCCAGTAGACTTAGTTCTGCTGCTTATGCAATTCGAAGGATAAGGCAATTAACAGACGTGGCGACGGCAAAACTTGTATATTTTAGTTAATTCCATAGCACATTATGTCATATGGCATACTGCTATGGGGTAAAGCTGCCGATGTAAATACTATATTTATTTTACAAAAGAGAGCCATACGTTCTATTTATGGTATGGGTTCTAGAGAGTCATTACGTCAATGCTTTAAACAATCAAATATCCTCACCGTTGCCTCACAGTACATTTATGAAAATGTTATGTATACAAGGAAAAACTTAGATAGTTTCAAGAAACTTAAAGACTGTACAAGTAGAAACTTACGCAATAAAATATGTTAATTTTACTTAAATGCCGTCTACACAAAGTTAGTAATTCATTTTATGGTAATTGCGTAAGATTCTATAATAAACTGCCAGAATCTACTAATCTAAATCTGACAAAGAGGCAATTCAAATTTTATAAATGTTATGTAAAAAAGTCTATTATAGGATAGATGAATTTATAGATGATAGCAAGTATAAGTTTATTTGCGGACAACGTTATAATTTATTTTTCATACTGCTTTCTTGATATATGATAGCGTAGCGGCTTTTGTATTGATTGCCGGATGCATCCTCATGTAAAGTGTAATACTGTAACTACCATATAGTATTTTTTGTAGCTGTGACGAGGTCGAGTGGAATGAGTAGTCAAGCTCACTAAAATGTCCAGACATGTGGCGGCGTGGTGGGCCGGGTCATTGGGCTCCCTAAAATATGATCGAGTGCAGTGATGGCTGGCTCATCCGTCATACTCGTGAACGAGTGCTGCTTGTAGGGACTGGTCTGCTCTTATCACTAGACTTTTTTTTTCTTGGGGAAATCCGTCATGGAGGCCCGCCCGCTCCAGGGGTAACGAGCGGGTACTGCCGGACTCCTACCGGCTAAAACCCCAAGGTGTACCTCTACTGATTGTTGCCGGAGCTCCGGGTGTGCGCGAGCATTCTTCCGCAGCTCCGACGGCGGGAACCCATCTCAGTAGACGGGTCACTACTCTTCTTCAGAAGAAGTAGCGCGGGTACACGCTCGCACCTTCTCAAGGCTGCGATGTCGACGGGGGGGCAGCCGCCCCCACGGCCGCCGCCCCTGGCCCTTGCGGAGGGAGAGGAACAACATCCCTCCTCCGTCTAGCTCTTATCACTAGGCTGATTTAACCTTATTGTGTTTTTATATTTGAGCCTAAATAAATTAGTGCTGGTTGGTAGTTTGTATTCACACGTTTCGACTTGTAAAATGTGAACTTACAAGGATTTTTTAAAAGATCAACACACAAGTTTCTTGTTTATTCTTCTTGTGATGAGACAGCTTTCCGAATAAATGGTAGATTTAAAAAAATGTTGTAAAAGTGCTTAAATTAAGTTTATTTGAATAAAGATTTTCTATGCTATTCTATTCTATTCTTCTAAGTATGTCATAAGAGTAAAGATAATAAAGGGGGGTCTTACATCGGGGTCCTCTCGTAGCGGCGTTTCGTGCAGCGGCGGCGGGGAGGAGGCGGGCGGCGCGGGAGGGGCGGGCGGCGCGGGGGGCGCGGGGGGCGCGGCGGCGGCCGCCCGCTCGTGGAACGACACACGCTTGTCACGCTGAGACCCGGGCGATCTGTAAACGGCACTCACATTTTTTAGTACAAACTTATTTAGGTAAATACATAAATCAGTTATACCTGTCAAAATTAATACTAGACACTATTATTTATTAATTCCCTTTAGATCAAATGTGATTTCAAATTTATGTGTGTTATAAATTGTTGACATTACATTACCAAAAACAAAACCTGATTACCAGTAAACTAATATTAGGGCAAATTATTGACTTCATTAAACAGCTTAAAGATATATTTTATAGCATTAATTTTCAGTATAACATGGAATATAAAAAAAATACATTCAATCTTAAATTTTCCCTCTTCCATCCCCAACTCTTATTTTATAGCGTTACTAGTACTTAAATTGATATGGCAAAACGTTTGCAGGGTCAGCTACTTAATATATAGACGTCGAGTGGTAGTTTATTGACATGTATACTAACTGAGGCGGTGCGTGTTGCGCCGGCGGCGGGTGTGGCGCGTGAGCGGAGTGCGGCGTGTCGGCGAGCGAGCGGCCCGCCATGACGGCGAACGACGACCCGCGCGACGGCGGCGGCGGCGGCGGCGCACACGCCGACACCGACATCGCCGACACGCCGCTCGCCACCTCCGACAACCGTTCGTCGGGTATCGTCTGTAACACGTAACACAGTACGCGTCTATGCATTACTCATTTTAATTGTGGTTATATGCTGCTTCTGAAAGCATAACGTAATATGTATTAACTATTATCAAATAAAAAAGTACGTATGATTTCTGAAAGCGTCTTGACTCTCGTCGCGTGTGTTTCAGATATTCATATGGTATCTATCATATGTATCCATCATGGTGGCATAAAATATCAACAATACCGTATCGTGTGCATATCCGTTGGAGATGTCCGGGCGCGTGTTGGTTTTGAGTATGGACTTGGGCGGGTGCGCGGGGGGACGCGGCTCGTACTCGACGGCGGGCTCCTCCTCCGACGACTCGTGCGATTCGTCTTCCAATCCACCTTCTGCGTTGCCACCCTCCTCCTGCTAACGAGAATGAGTAATAAGTTTCCAAAGTTTTCACGTGCGTTAATCTGTAGAGTAGTTATGTACCGTGTTTCCGATTAAGCGATTTATAACAATTTTGTTTTAACATTGATTTGAACGAAATGAAAATATTGGGCGTTTTGATGTTGTAGTGACATTACAGTATTTATTCACGAGAAGAGTGAACAAAAATGTTCTAGATATAGAATAGATTAGACACATAATGTATTTCGTAGCAGATAAACTACTGAACTTAAAAATTTACGAGTCCTGACTCGTCAGTCAATATTTAGTGTAATTTTGAGAGTACACAGTCATAATTACTAAAATTGTAAGCTGAAATTTAGAATTCAACATATATTTATATTATAAAGTAAATATCCACTAGGTGCCGCCCAAGTGAAGCGAAATGGTAAATATAAAGATAGGTACCTGGTGGTGCATGGTAGCGCGGCGTTCGAAGTCCCTCTCGAGCTGCAGCGCGCGCAGCTGCTGGTTCTGTACGGGCGACCGCGCCGTGCCTATAGACACCAGGCTAGCGATTGTCGCATCCCTGCAACACATACAATACCCTCGTTTAATATATGATACACATTATCCGTCGCGCATTGAACACGATTCGTAATGTAAGTAATTTATATAGTTTTGTGTAAGACGCAGAAGAATTGTAATCTGTCTTGACAATTTTAATAGATGAAAGTGGAAGAGAGTGTAGAGTGTATGCCAAACTTGCGGAAGGTTGTATGTACTTTGTTGATATGTATCAAGCGGACTTCTGAAGTAATAGAAATAAGATAGAATATTTAAAGCCAATAAGGAATAAAAATTTGTGTGTATGTGTATTATTTTAATATATATAATAATGTTAATATCATTTGTATGTGGGTTTGTTACATCTCTTATTAAATCGCTGATCTAATTTGGATAAAGTTATGTGTTTATTTCAATAGATTTCTTGGGATGATTCGAATAGCAAGACGATAGCACGACGTCTGCTAGTACATGGTTAATAGTAAGGGGGGGGATAGATATAGAAGGGGGATAATAGGAGATGACGTGAAAGTGTTAAATCGCGCACAGTCGTGATCGAGCGTGAAAGAACGTGTGGTGTGAGGGCAGCTTATGAGGATTCTGTTACGGTTACCATCGGTGTTAAGATCTAGTGTGGCTCAGTAGATAAGGGCGGAGGTTACCTGCGCGCGCGGTTGGCGGCGCGGCGTGCCTCGGCCTGCCGCTCGCGCTCCTCGCGCTGCCACGGATTGTGTGCGGCCGGCCGCGCCCCGCCCGCCGCGCCCCCCGCACCACCCGCACCACCCGCACCACCCGCACCACCCGCACCACCCGCACCACCCGCCGGGTACACCGACACCGCCGGCGGCTCCAGCGCACTCGCCACGTACCGCTCTACAACAAATCAGAATCTAGTTTTTCAAACTGAACATACTTGATATGTATGATGAATACACACATATCAACTAAATTTTCAACAAAGAAGTAAACATGTAATCTGTATTCATATATATCAACTTAAAAATGTAAAGTTACAACAAATATTCAAAAAGCAATGTGCAAGTTTCTTGATCGGTCTACTATAGTTTTCCGAATGAACGGTAGATTAAAAAAAGATAAATGTGACTATTCAAAAGTGCTTAAATTTAAATTTATTTGAATAAAGGACAAAAAAATTGTTACGTGATACTACTTTTTTATTACCATTATATTGTTAAAGTCAACCTTTAACAATATAATGGTTAGAATAATTCCTTGAAGAGATTTCTTCTAAGAATATATAAAATTATTTTATTACTGTATTTTCTAAAGGCAATATACAATATAAATCTATACATATACCTATATATAAAATTACGCTCAGTATTATATGCCTTAATTCTCCGAAACGCTTAACCGTTTTTGATAAATTGTTATATGTATACTCGGTAGGTCTGAGAATATGGTACTATATATATTTTTATACTCCTGAATAATAAGGATGGGGCCATCCTTATTATTCAGGAGTATAAAAATATATATCACCAAAAATATTTGTTATTATTTGGACACGAATTTTATTTTTTTATGATTCGGCATTAAAAATACAACCATAAATTTTCACCTACAGTCAGTGCCTGTTTTTTAATAGCGATTTTAATTTGTATATCAAAACGTTTGACGGGTCAGCTAGTTAACTAATGACTACAATTTTTAAACTCGTTTGAAGTCATGACAAAGAGTATTTTTAATTAAAATACTGCTTAGACGCTTATACACTTTTGAAGTTCAGTCTAAGTGATCTGAGAAATATTTCGATTACTTGTTTCACAATATTTTGTTTGATACTTTATAGGCGTTGTTCAATATACATAGATCACACTTACCGTCGTCAGGCTGCACTGAAGTGTTTATCTGTGGCGACTGCGTGTGTAGATGTTGGTCCTCCATCTCCATATCTCGCCTCATACCCTGGTAATAAAATGTATACTAATAAGAAAAGAAGAGTTTTTGATAAAGATATTTTATTATACATATTATTGAAATTATATTGTAACTGACTGATTCCGTCACTATTAGATAGGCACTGTACATATCAAAATCTTAAGATTAATATAAACTTAAACTTACCTGTGGCTTCGGGGCAACAGGTGGCTGAGATCTTTGTGGCGACGGTGGTCCAGGAGGATGCCATTCATACCTGTGGTGGATTACAATAATACATATTATAAAACATTTGTAATAAGAGCCGGTCTGGTATAGTTAAAAATTTAATAAACTTGACTCATAAACTCCACGGTAGTTTAAACGGTTTTACAAATGTAGCCTGTAACTAATCGTAGTATATTTCACTTAATGTGATGTTATTAAATGATGAAAACCTCATAATACAATAAGGTCTACTTAGATACATATAAATGTTAACTGTCCTTTTTATATTTTACATATATATATATATATATATATATATATCTCTGCTAAATCTAACCTCTGCGCTGAGTTTTGCTGATTGTGATGGTTTTGTTGCGGAGAGTGTTGGCCCGCATGGTGCACCGGCTGCGAAGTATGCACGTGCATTGGGGTCTGGTTCGACATCTATTAGAATAATAAAAAAAACATAATAAAACACAATCAACAGTAAAACTACAATGTTCACTTTGTATAAAGGAAGGACTTTATCTTTATATAATTTATGTATTATTAATAATAATAATACATAAATTATATAAATATAAAGTAACATACACTCAAGAATAAAATACAGTCTCATGTTTGAAAACTTTTGAAAACATTTACTATTTCATTACCCTTCCTCTATAGATAATCATAGGATGGTGTTTCAGGCACTAATCTTACATGTTAGCAAGGAACCAGTAGAGAATAAGAATTAAGTATTAATAAAGCTATTACGAAGAATTTACTAGGAATAGTCTATGACAGTTAGTACAGGCACAAAGTAGACGTTGACCTGATTTTGTAATATAGATTAATAGCAATGTAGCACAATTGTTATTAATGTAATAGTCGGCGTAATAAGATAGCTAATATATTTTTAATCAGAGTTCAATTATTTTCCTAGCGCTGAAATACGATGGGACAACTGTCAATTTAAAATAATTATGTTTTTATGTAGTAATATAAAGACATTAAAAAACACAGACATTAGAAATTTAAAAAAATATTAAATTACCTGCTGATGATTATGGAGTGTGGGATGCTGATGAGCCAGGCTCTGTGGTGGTTTTTGTGGCATAGTCGAAAACTGCATTTGTTGTTGTAGTTGTTGTTGTTGTAGCTGCTGCTGCTGTTGTTGTAGCTGCTGTTGTTGCTGTAGCTGCTGTTGTTGTTGCTGTAGTTGCTGCTGATGTTGAATTTGCTGCTGATGTTGTAATTGTTGTTGATGTTGCAACTGCTGTTGATGTTGTAGCTGCTGTTGCTGTTGATGTTGTAACTGTTGTTGATGTTGTAGCTGCTGTTGCTGTTGATGTTGTAGCTGCTGTTGTTGCTCATGTTGAATCTGCTGCTGTTGTAACTGTTGTTGCTGTTGCTGCCGTCTTGTAACTTCCTCTGACATTTCCGCTAATTTCGCGGAACGTGCAGTCATCGGCTGGTTGTTCTGTAATACATTTAGATAAATGTCATACATTACTACTCAATGAACAAAATACGTAAAGATTTTTTTTTTGTTAGTGATTGAGTGGTTGCGATTTTACCTGGTGTATCGGAGAATTAGGCGATTGATCGGCGCCCGAGTAATGTGCGGACTGCGGTCGATTGCTGCCCGTCGAGCTACGCAGCGACGACCATCTGTGAAAGGATATTATTTTAGGATGACAATAAAATGTGTCATCAGGTTTTATAATTTACACTTACAGTGATATAATAAATTGCAATGGTTGAGATATTCAGAATTAGTTTAAAAATCCAGTAAGTAGATTGTCTATAATGGATTTTCTAACATTTTATTTCTTCATGCTACTTTCTTCGTTTTATTATTAATAATATAAACTAACTGTACCCGCGGTTTCACCCGTATGAAATTTACAGCCTATGTGTTATTCTGATTTATAAGCTATATTATTGCAAATTTCTTCAAATTTCGTTCAGTAGTTTTTGCGTGAAAGAGTAATAAACAGCCATCCACACTCACAAACTTTCGCTTTATAGTATTAGTAAGATTACAAAAAAAATATATGTTTTATTATATTTATCTCTCATCTAATACTTTGCAATTTATATCCAAAATAATCGGAGGGTACTCACAAAAATATTTATACAAGAAACTTGACGTTTATAAGCCGTTAATATGTCGTACATGATATTTGATTTGATACGACTCAGTATAGCAAAAAATAAAATAAAAGATTACAACGGCTCACAAAATAATAAAATAAGAAACAATCCGAGATGTACATAGAGCAAAAGAGTGAGTGAATATCGTGATTTTGAAATAGAGCGAGTGTAGTATCGGTAGCGACCTGTCGTTGAGGTGCGGGTGCACGGCGGCGAGGTTCTGGTAGAAGGCGTCGTGAGGCGCGGCGGGTGCGGGCGCGGGTGCGGGCGCGGCCAGGTTGTGGCTGCTGCGGGACCTGCTCGCCCACGACGCGCCGCTCGCGCCGCTCACTGACGCCGCCGGGCTCAACGTCGCACTGCACCAGTTGCAGTTGCCAATATTATATACTTCACTGATTATATTTATATTTAGACCGAACAATACTAATAATTATATTATATGTATCACTCTTATTCGTATTATATATTGTATTCTTATGCACTTTTATACTCATAAAAGCCTATAAATATACTCATTTTTTATATTACATGTAGATGATGATGATAGATTGAAACAAATATAATTTAACTGTACATATTACTATATTATTACTGTACGTACTGTATTATTACCTCAAATTAAATAATAATAATAAAATTAAATATATACTACATAACACCGACGACCGTACAAATACTTACGTCACGCGCTTTTAAAGTCTTTTAAAGTTTATAAAAATAAACTATTTTATATTCTAACCAACATTGGCAGTTATATAAAAAATAATAATATGATAGTGGTATGAAATTGTAAATAATGTATACCTGGCGGGTTGGTGGTGAAGCGCGGGCGTGCTCTTGCTGGGTTTTACGGCTTCCGCCGCCAGCCGCGCCGGCAAGTCTCGTTCTGATGCGCGCCGCATGCCGCCCACGCCGCCCACGCCGCCCACGCCGCCTACACCTGCACAACGACACTTTCCTTTATGTATTTATATAAAAACTTCAATGCACAAATACATACATAAAGGTGCACGTGACAGACTTAATGCCTTCAAACATTTTCTCCCAGTCCTAATTGAAATGCACGACGACGTAGTAGAACAAACTCTATATGCAACGTTCGATAGTCCATTGTTGTCTATGATTGTGGTCCAAGTCTCTAAATTTTATTGAAGCTGACCACATTACAATAGTAAAATCCCTATACAATGTTGAGTTGAGATTAGCGCGTACAAACGCAATCCTCAAAATGAAAATATTTTTTGTCTTGAGTTCAATTACGCGCCTCAATAACAATTTATACACATATCTACCGTGTAAGCAATCTAAACAAATAAGGAAATACATTTTAAAGAAAATTTTTAATAAAATATATTCCATCGAGACCAAAGATTTGAAAATACATTCAAAACTAACAATATAATCATTAAGTGAGATATGCACTAATTGTGGTGTTATTTCAGTACATCTATTTATTCTGAGGTGTTATAAAATGCTGAAATAAAGAAGACAAAAAAAAGTATTAAGCAACTTATTCTTCTAACTCACATACACGCCATGACATAAAGTAAAAAAAACGGCGAAAATAATAATGTGCTTTTGATCAAAAAGTAAAGAAATTATATTGCAAACAGGATGCGAATGTCGCAAGTAAACGTGAACGCTAAACGTCGTCCGGGCGCTGAGAGCAAGAAAAAAAGTCAAGTGTTTTTATGTAAATGTTTAAGTTAATAATACTGTATTTTTTAAAATAGCAAAGAACATTTAACTAATACAAGTTATTATTTACCAAATCTCTCTTACGAGACAATTATAGAAGAAGCAATTACGATTTGAAATATATTTAAATTATCCTCTTGCAAATCATATACGTTAAAAAAGAATTTGATGTATATTGACTTGACGATTAGTTGTTAAAACGAGAATATTTTTGTTGCAAATGGAAGCGAGCGGTTTCAATCTGATTTTAGTAATTTCTCTTAACTTTTTTTCTCAGCCGTGGGCGGGTCCCGTGTGAGGAGCTAGAACACACCTATATCATGCTCGGTGTAGGGGAGGCTTACGCGGGGGGAGGCCGGCCAGCGCGGGGCAGCTACCGTGCGACGAAGTCATCCGTCTGGTCGGAGACTCGCTAACTTCCTGGGGTATGCATAAGTTCGTCACTCCTTCAGGACTTCCGCTTTCGATGAGTGATTCTCTGCTACATTTCGTTTCTGAATTGAAACTAGACTGATTAGACTTCAGTTTAATATTATCCAAAGTAATTATTTTAGGCTTTTTATCGACGATTTCGTTAAATACAAACACACCGTCGGGCACGTCCGATTGGTCCTCGGAGGGCAAGTTTGGCACCTCAAATTCGTTTCCCTGAGCCAGCGTGTCCTCGCTGCCTCTCGATCCATACCTAGACCAATCTTCCAGCTGTATCAGTATGCTTTTGACTTCGTCGTCAGTCATTTTGTCTCCTTTCGTTTCGGTGGTGTCCGTTTTAGTACTTTCGTATTGTATATCCGCTAAACTAACACTACTTTGTATATTATTATATGAAATTTTAAAAGATTTTTCGTTGCGATCACTGAGATTAGGACTGGATTGGCAGTTTCTCTTATAATTGCGCACGCAGTATGAGAGGTTAATATCGTTGAAGTGTTTGGTCAAAGCTTTCACTTTACCATAGGACGGCCGGAATTCATCGGGGGACTTCCAAGATTTCCTGTCGACGCTGTCAAGAATTTGTTTGGCACCCATTTCCGAAGGAGTCTGTACAATTCCTTTAGATAAATAGACACGTTTTCCGTTAGCCATATTATCAAAAGAATCAGATGTAGAATATGTGGATGGAGGATCTGTATCAGATTTACTAGAAATTGATCTAGACATTTGATACAACGTTCTCTTTAGCCTACAATGCATACTACTGTCGACTTTTCTAGACTCTTTTTTGACATCGAGGTTCAATTCAAATTTCCTTGGGGCTGGTGTGGGCTTAACTTCAATCTCATTTTCAATAGGCGACTCAGATGTTTGGCAGACGGCGTCCGCCGTTTCTTTTTTGCCTTCATCTGTTTTATCAAGCGACAACGAGGGTAGAATTCTACGTATTTTTGGTGTTGCTATTTTGTCACAAGTGGATTCAGTTTCGAATATAACCGGTTCAGAATTAGGCTCGTCTATGTATGGTATAGGTTGCGTCTCTGGCTGCGGGGTTCGACAACATTCGCACGCACTCACACACTCATCTACACCAGTACAGCGTCCTCTGTAAAATTCATTTTCTTTCGGTCTGTATATTTCATTTGTTTGTGTTCGGGAATTAAACAATTCTAATGTGAGTTTAGTGTCTATTGGTTGCATTTTCGGAGGTAAACAGATGGTCTCGCCGCTCTCGCTCGATTGGTCATAGTTAGCGGGCGGTTCCGGTATTTGGGGCGGTTCGTCTTGTGGCACGTGGCTATCGTACGTGGTAGTATCGCTACTGGGATGCTGTTCATCAAAATCCTCACAAGTGAATGTGAATACTGGAATTGGGCGCGGCGGAACGACGTTTGTTTTTAGTTCCATCGGACAGCCCGGTGTATCGGGCGTTAAATCTTCTTGTAATTGATTATTTTCTTTATCTAACGTTATGATTAATCTAGGAATAGAGCCGTGGTAATGAGGATGGAAATCCTCACTTTCATCTGTACTAGATTCAGTAGACTCGTCCCTGAGCATATGACATCGATTGTGACACGGTCTTCGATAGCCTGTAACGTTAATTTTGTTAAATTATGTATGTTAAGTTTTTCTAAACGAATATAAACACGGTAAGATAATCTGAAAAAAAAAACTGAAAGAACAGAATTGAAATAAAAACCCCATAATGGAAAATGAAAAAAAAAAGTAAAATATATTATTTGAAAACTGAAACTGAGATAAACATATCGTTCGAGCGACCGGTTGAACCGGTTTGAATTGTTTGATATGTAAAACATATTCATGAATGAATTGTAAAACATATTCATGTTTTACCTACTACATTGGATTCATTATCAATGACCAATAAGAATAAAAAAAACAAGAGTAAATTAGACCACCAGGAAAATAAATGCACTACGAAAACGGAACAAAGATGGGACAACATAGACACAATAATTGCCTGCGGTAGCGAGTTCAGTAAGCGGGGAGGCAGGTTTCAGCAGCGCCGGGTGCGGGTTGATGAACGTGCCTGAGTTGCGACGCACGCGGTCTTCGTACGGAACCTCCTCGTCTGCAGCCGGAATGAATAACCTTTGTCAATTGCTCCATAAACTAACAATTACTATTTTCCTGTTGGAAGTGTATTTCAACTGGATCTGATACTGATATAGAGTATATTGAATCTATGGTCCCAGCATAGATTCTGATCATAGAATATTTTTGTTATTGTGTTCTAAAAATATCGAATAAAATAATGGAACATACCTTGTTTCTGATTGTAAGCAGGCTGGTGTAGAAGCGTGGCTAAGCCATGGAGTACCGCTCCTTGTTTCGCGATTTCGAGTGTTACAGTGGGGCCAGTCCGTACTAAGTATTCGGCAGCCTGTACACAACAGAATTCATTATTAAATGTAATTACAATATATTTTTCTTATATTTGTAAATAATCTTTTATATATATACACTATTTAACTTTATTCTTAAATTAAAAGAGGCCAATTTACTCCTTATTACATCAGTTACCTGGCAATAAAAGTCCCGCAAAATCGGTCCAGCCATTTCAGAGATTAGCCGGAACAAACGAACAGACAAACAAAAACTAGAGAAAATGTTATTTTGGTGTCTGTACCGTATGTATACTAATATGCATGTAGTCAAAAACGGTTATTTCAATATTACTAACAGACACTCCAATTTTATTTATATGTATAGATTTATAGAAATGAAGTTTCATTTTCGCAGAATACGGAAAACGATAGCAATTTCTTCCAGACATCTACTGGATAGAGAAAAAAGATAGAAGATGGTGGATGGCACAGGAATAATGTGTGTACGAGTGGAGTGTGACTGTGCGAGTAGTGTGGGTGGGAATGCGTGCGGTATGAGGGGGAGGGGGAGGGGGAGGGGGAGGGGGGTGGGAGGTGTACCTTCTCCTGCGTGATGCCGACGAGCGACTGTCCGTCGACGGAGAGCAGCTGGTCGCCGGCGGCCAGGCGGCCGTCCGCGGCGGCGGCCCCGCCCGGCACCACCGACTTTATGTAGATGCCCAGCTTGCTCTGCCCGGCGCCCTGTCACCACGCACTCCTCTATACTCACAGCCTCCCATGACCTCGACATTATCTCTTTTCGTCTTTGTTAAACGACTAATTTGATGTTCATTATAACCGCAGAAGTTTACAATGTATGGAATCTTGGTTACTCATAATGTTAACGTAAATTAGACTTTAATAATATGTTAACTTAAATTAAGGGTACCGATACTATATTATAGATTACTAAGATACCATATTATCAAATTTTTTAACAAAATTGGAGTACTAAACGTAATATATTTAATATTTTAAATACATTAAAGGATATCTATTCATGCAGGTAAGATCACCGAGGCCGCCTATGTCTTGCCAGTTGCTTTATTTGTACATCGAGTTTCAATTGAAGATTAATTGTTTTAGTGATCCCTTCACTGTGGCAACGCACAAGACGTATCACGAGTATCATTCGACGACGTGACATACATTGTAAATCGACTATTCTCACTATCAGATGGATCGCTGGTAGCTCACTCGGCGATTCAACTGCACATTTCCAGCGAGTGAGTTATAGATACCTTGGCGGCGACGATGCTGAGCCCCATGCCGTTGGCGTTCTTGTGCAGCTGCAGGAGGTGGGGGCGCGCGTCGGGCGGGCGGCGCGGCGGCTGCCGGCCCAGCATGTAGACGGTCCAGACGCCGAGCGCGTGCGGCTGCAGCGCGAGCCGGCACAGCCCGCCGCGCTGCAGCGGCGCCACGAACTCCGACAGGCCGGGCGGCACGCCGCGCACCACCTCCGCGCTGAACCCGTCGCCCGGCACCAGCAGCGCCGCGCCCAGCCACCGGCTCTCCTCCGCCACGATCTGACACGCCCCGGACAACATTCATATAAACCGCGCTCACTTTTTACTAACGTATCACTTTTAATGCCGTTTCGGGATACTCGTATTTAGAACATATGTTTTATATATATGTTAAATACATATAATACAATATTATACATAAGCAAATTGAAATTACAATCAATAAATGCTTAATGATACCATTTTCATCTTCGTGTACGTATTACCTTTGAGGCGTTTGATTGCGTAGATCATGAAACACTTTTGTACAAGCTCAAACATCATGGTATTAAAGATAATGACCTAAGTCTAATGAAAACTTATCTAGAGGATAAGGTGCAAACTGTAGATATTGATGGTGTAAAGTCTAAGGGAACTAATATAAAAATGGGCGTTCCTCAAGGTTCAATATTAGGCCCATTAGATAGATGAATTTATAGATGATAGCAATATATAGCAAGAATAAGTTTATTTGCGGACAACGTTATAATTTTAATTTTCATACTGCTTTCTTGATATATGATAGCGTAGCGGCTTTTGGATTGATTGCCGCATGCATCCTTATGTAAAGTGCGAATACTGTAACTACCATATAGTAATTTTTGTAGCTGAGACGTGATCGTGTGGAATGAGTAGTCATGCTCACTAAAATGTCCAGACATGTGGCGGCGTGGTGGGCCGGGTCATTGGGCTCCCTAAAATATGGTCGAGCGCAGTGATGGCTGGCTCATCCGTCATACTCGTGAAACGAGTGCTGCTTGTAGGGACTGGTCTGCTCTTATCACTACGACTGATTTAATCTTATTGCATATTTATATTTGACTCAAAAAATTAGTGCTTGTTGGTAGTTTGTATTCACAGGTTTCGACTTGTAAATGTAAACTTACAAGGATTATTTAAAAGAGCCACACACAAGCTTCTTGCTCGTTCTTCTTGTGATGAGACAGCTTTCCGAACGAGTGGTAGATAAAAAACAAATTGTTATGACTATTCAAAAGTGCTTAAATTAAGTTTATTTGAATAAATGATTTTCTATTCTATTCTATTCTATTAGCCTTTATAGATTCACCAAACGTGGGCGAGTGCAGATGTCACACAAACCCGCGGACGGACTTATGGAGCGACTGAAAGCCAACTCCTGCCTGACACATCCAACTTTAGTCTGAGGGCACCGCTAAACGTTTGAATCTCGGTTCAGGCCGTCATAAATTCGATGTCCGTTCAAACGAGGGATCGATCGGAGGGGATGGACCGACGATGTTATATGCATTAGTACTCACGTCTCGTCCGTCAGCACGCGCGAGTTCGTCGGCGAGTGCGCGCGCGTGTTCAATGGCGGCCTCGAGCACGTCGGGGGCCACGAGCGGCGCCAGCAGCGCACGCACTTGCACCGAGTTCAGCTTGAAGCACGCCGCCAGCGCCGCGCGCACCTCGTCCGGCGTGCGGTACGTGCCTTGGATCAAGCGTGCTGCCACACACCAAAGTTCATTATTAAACAAGGTATATAAGCTATTAATATAGTTAAACGGGTTAAACACTAATAATTTTGTGCTAAATAAAGGTGTTTACCTATCTCGACGTTTCGACTAGGTACTAGCCGTGGCCACGAGCTGACTTAGAGAGGTAAATACCACTATTTACCATTAGATTATTCGTCTTAAAACTTGTTGTTCTTATAATAATGTGTACTAAATGCAAAATTTTATAAATAAGTAAGGTATATAATTTAAATTCTTATAATTAGGAAAAAGTTTATAAGGCCTGATTTACTGAAAAAAAAATATAAAATATTTTCTACATTAAATTAAAATAAAGCGGCAGATAAACAAAAAAAATATAATCGAAAAACATTACTTTTATAGTAAAAGTTAAATTGTGAATTTTTTTTGTTATGAGCATATAGTAAATATCCGAGTTGTTGCTGCGAAGCAACAATATCACCGCCGACAAAATAACAGTATACAGTAATATTGTTGCTAAAAAAACTACGGTCAATAATATTCAAGTTGAAACCTAAAAGTACGATTACAGGGTTCATAATAGAGTGCGCCAGCTGTGCGGAACGAGAGGACTGAAGACGTACCGGCTTGGTGCGTGCGCGCGAGGTGACAGTCGGCGGCCAGCTCGAGTCCCTGCCGCTCGGCCCACGCCGCCAGCAGCGCCAGCCGCGCCGACAGCGCGCAGCCCCACCGTGGCGTAGCCGCACCCGGCTCGCTCACCAGCTGTACACGTATACCAACACTGATTACTATCTTGTGTCATACCGAAAGCGTCGGCTTAAAGTCCGACTTTTGTAGGTGTAATATTATCTGGTGTAACGGGTTGTTATATTGACAGCGTCGGCAAAACGCCCGATCTCCATAGGTCTGTAGGTAACTGATCACTATCTAGTGCAATGGGGTGAAATACCGACAGTGTCGGCCTAACGCCTGACCTCTGTAGTTAACTTGTCACTATCTGGTGTAATGGGGTGACATACCAACAGTGTCGACCTAACGCCTGACTTCTGTCGATAACAGATCACTATCTGATGTAATGGAGTGACATACCGACAGCGTATGTCACTCCATTACACGTCGACCTACTTCAGTTAATTGCATATACCAGCAGTAGACATAGTTTTAAATATAAAAGTACATACAAGGGATGTTTAGTCACATGTCACCAATATATTTAAAGACATGTTCAATGTTTGAACCAATGGTTGCATATTTCCAACATAGACTATGTGGAATCTACTATATCTATCTATTATCTACTGTAGAATTGCTTATCTGAAAATAAATTCTTATTAATAGTTACTATCCTGGAGCGTAAAAGCTGACTACAAGAATGGTGAAATTGACATAATAAAAAAAGAACAGGAACTTTTGAGATTAATTAATATATTCTAAAAACACAAAAATATCGTAGATAAAAACCTACATAAACAAAACAAAATACATACCTTATTAAAGCAGACAGCGTTGATGTAATGAAAGAGATGCGAGAAGAGCTGTATAGTGAGGGCGGCGTTGACGCGGCACCTGCGCAGGAGCACCATGGCGGTGGCGAGCGCCTGCAGCGTGGGCGCGGTGGCGTCGGTGGCGTCGGTGGCGTCGCTCGCGTCCGGCGGCAGCGTCGTCAGCGTCGTCAGCGTCGCCAGCGCGCGGGACAGCTCCTCTTGGAAGCACGTCACTAGGTTGCTGTACATCAGGAGGATAATTACCTTTATTTTTTCTACATGCATTTAATAATAATAATAATCTCATGACAACTCACACGGCGCCATCTAGACCCAAGTTAAGCTAACTGAAGCTTGTGTTATGGGTGCTCGTTGACTGATAAAAATTCATACATATTTGTTTTCGTAAATCCATACATAGTATACACAGAAAACACCCAAACCGATACAGACGACTCATGAATATATAAACATATAAACATACACATGTAAATGTTTGTACCGTGCGAGGAATCCAAACCGTGGCCGTTGGAAGTAAGACGGTGTGCTAGAACACTCGACCTCCGACGCCGCCAAAAAAATTACTAAAATTTTACTGTATTTCTGTATATCTATCTTTTATTATTGTGGCTCGCAATTATAATTATAAACATTGGTCTACAATTAGTATTTTTATGCAACGCTAATAGCAAAGAACTAGATCTTTTTTTGTTATTCCGTAGGAAAATGTTAATAGTCGCCTAAATACATAAATACTACGTCAAACATCACATTCAAACTGTACCACTTCCCATGTATTTCTATTCCAAAGAATAAAGTCCTTGATACTTCATATTAATAAATAATTATACAAGTTAGTTATAATACGATAACTTGATTTATTTACTAAGGCAAATTATCTTCTTTATAATTATATTATGTAAAACAATATTAACTTGTGCTGCATTCAATATTTAAACATACGAGCAGATAAGGAACTTACGCCCAGTGTTTTCTTATTGGCCGTTGGCTGTTGGTCTTTTACAGCATTGGGTCTTTTAAATCAACAGTAAAATGACACTATTTAAGATAGTATAGAGTAGTATGTAGATAGTATGTAACAGCTTAGACCTTACTAAAATTGCGGCCAAACGCACTCAATTTTAGTAACAAAATATAATGTAATGGAAATTTTAAAGTAATTGTAAGTACCTAAAAGCGTTCTGTACAGTAGATGGTAAAATTTCTTGAGCCTGCGTGGAAAAAGACGAGATATGTCGATCACACTTCAAGAAGTGCAACAGTTCACTGGCATTAGCCATCCAGAATGCTTGAGCAGCGGAATCAGTAGACCGCTCCTGTACATAACATTTTTATAAATATAAAATTAACTAAAACAAATAAACACTCTACTGGTAAAATTTTTCATTACAATGTATTGTGTAAATATGACTATATCATAAAAATAATCGTCATAATTTTAAAAGTGATTTTGTATCGAATTTAAATTAATTATTCAAAACTACCGTAAAATTGACACAACTCAATTAACATTAATTTTTAGTCAATTATTTTATTGAAAGAAATGTAGAGTTTTACTGTACTTTCGATTTTTATAATAGCAGTTACCTGGACAGTCGTGTGAATGAGCATAGCGACGTGGTGCAGGAAAGCGGTCAGCTTATGGGCACGCTCCGTGGGCGTCAGTTCGGGCCGGTAGTGCGTTGATGCGCGATATCTGAATACATATTGAGTATAAAAATTGTTGGTTGGTTGAGAAATCGTCGTCAAAAGATAACTGTTACTTATAATGCAATGTTACTTATTAGTTATTACTTTATTTTCAAACTATCTTCAGGATAATCTCATATACACACATATTATAGTTATTAGTGTATTAAACTCTCTTTTATTTAATCATTACAACAGCGATGACACTGTACAATTATTTTACTACTCTAACTTTCATGTCAAAAAAATTGTAATACTAATGTCTTTTTTACAGTTTCTAATTTCTTGTCACCACATAATACTGATGCTTTAGTATGTAAAGAAAATACAATTCTATATTTTTAACTACGTAATATTAATATCTTACACGGATACCTACCCATAAAATGAGCTAAATAAAAACCACAATATAGATTCAACAGTATAAAAATTATACTGTTGAATCTATATTATGTAATGTTTTATTCAAGTTACTTTACCTTGCACATAGATAGAGCGTGTAAACTGGCGCGAGTTTGAAGGCTGGTGCATGTGGGTCGAGACGTGTGATGACAGCAGCCAGGAATTGCGCCTGTCCCGCCTCCGGGAACTCGAGCACCGCTGGCAGTATCGGCTCTTGGCCGGGCCGGGCTACGCTACTCACGCTGCCGCTCATCCTGGTAAGTAGCATATATAGTGTTACATACAATTGCGTCCATGCTATTATAATAATATCCCTGAACAATTCGCACAACGCCATCTACTCCGAAAGTAAGTAGAACTTGTGTTATGGGTACTAGAAAACTGATATAAATATTTAGATACTTCTTTTATAAATATATATAGAAAATACAAACAATCATACTCATGAATAAAATGTTTGTAACGTGCGAGGAACCGAACCTGCGGCCATCGCAAGTAAAACAGTGTGCTACACCGCTAGACCATCGAGGCCGTCAATCCTCCATTCCGTTATCCAACTTAATATAGTAATAAGTAGGATAAAAGTTTAAGGAAGATGACGTGAGAGATTTATTCAATCACAATTACATGCTATACGTATTTGAATGTAATATTGACGAGATGACTCGCACATCACAGCAATTTACGATATGATCCATCTAAGTATCAACAGGATACTGACATTACTCCTCCATCGTAAAGCGTTGCTGTTTAACCTACATTTGATTGGCAATACTATACCGTACAGCTAACAATTTGAAAGATAGTAAACATGTTTGCGTCATAATCGCTTTAAAGCTTGAACGAATCTGGATACGATTATGTACTGCCATGTAAATAGTGAATGATTGAAAATAGTATAGAGTAATTTGCCTTATTATTATAAAAATCTATTATTATTATGTTATAACTATTTTATACATTTTTTTAGGCATAATTGTAAAACTAGTGACCCCATTGCTAACAATGTACCATGTTAGGTCTATGGAAGATCATGTGGAGATCTGGAATCCATCATAGTTAATTCTAGGTACATTTATCACCACAGCTAACTAACCTGACTTTAGGCTCATCCTATCACTTTCCACTGGTTATAGTGTTCGCGAAGGAGAATGTACATTTGTCATTATTTAAAAAAAATAATTATTTAATTGTGAGGTGGTTATCATATAATTTATACGTACAGGTAATATTAAAAAATAAAGGAATCTCATGAAGCAAATGATAAGAAAAAAGGTTTGCATTTAATACAAACATACGCATTATAGCAATATTTTATATGATATAAGAATAAAGATAGTATACTTACATTACTTTAGTACATAGAATATTTTATTATAAAAATTATAATAAAATAACAACACGACAAAAAAGCAAAAGAAAGTTGTAATAGTAAAAGAAATTAAATCTATGTAAACTTAATAAATTTAACAATATATTAATTATACAATTTATTAATAGAATATGGCAAATCCCGTTACTATTTAATATTACGCTTAAAATTACATCTAGTTTGTTGTGAGATGTAGGGAAAAAGATTATAAAGTTTGTAAGCAGACACATTTCAGATTATTTTGGCATTGAAAAATTCATTGCAATTACTTTTGTTCTTATATTTAATGTAGGATTGTTGAAAGATATTCTATTATTATAAAATATGTAACGCAGTGCTGAATTATGAGCGATCCATTCAACAAAGTTATTCGTTCACAATATTAACATATTTTATATTTAGATCCATAAGACGATCATTTGAAAACTAGTTTGATCGGTACCTGTTATCGTGTCCCGAGCCGCCGCTTTTAGCGCTGCAGATGCTTTTTGTCTCTACATTTCCGTCCAAATCGAATGTTGTCTCGTAATTGTCTTTGTATTGAGAGTTGGCGGTACGATTCGCCGGATTTTGTTCCGGATCGTTGTACATAGACGCGGAGTGTTCATCCCTTATGTAGCCGTCTTTCGTTTCGTTCAGATGCTGTGACATTCTAAGCGATTCGTTGTCTAGTTTCAGCGTGTTGTTATTATACGGCGACATGGCTTCGTTCCCTTCACGGTAGTAAGTGTCATGCGACACTGGGCTCATAGTCCTCGGGAAGTCATTGTCGGTGGTGTTGGCGTTAGAGTCGATCAGATCGGGCTGGTGTGACGTCATCGACGTGGGCGACATCGCGCCGCTCTCCGGAGACGTCGGCGATCTAATGTGAGTGTAACATACACAAGCGAATGTTCGTGAGCCAGTGATAGAAACATGCAAAAGAAAACAACAATGACAGACGAACCAACATAAAATCAACATAAATCCAGTGATTAGAGAAGCAGCGGGATTGATAGTGTTACAATATCTATCTGTTAAAATAAAAGACAAAGTAATAACAAATATAAAGAGGTTGCTGGTGTATGGATGACAGTTCTAATTCAGATCATTTAAAGGTAATTGGTTGTAAGGTACAATTACAACTATTTAGGTACAACTACGAAGACACAACATTTATTGTAACGCAAATAAATATGAATTCTCACCTGTCGTATATTGAGCCGGAACCGAAATGCTGCGATTGCGAGAGATTTCTGTTGAGGAAATTTTCTTGGGTGGGATCCACGAATCGGAAAGTAGACACCCGACCGAATTTTAGCAGGCAACCGTGCTGTAAAAAATATAAAGGTCTTTTTTAAGATCGTACCTTATTAAAATCTAATGGCTTATGTCATTTATTGCAAATAAAGATAGCGACTTACTTCTCAATAAATAATTGTGTAAGTTTATAAACAAATATTAATATTATGTAGCGTAATCTCTTTAAAAATGGCCAGTTACAGACATCGAAAGCAAAATAGATGCGTGGCAATAAAAATAACAAACGGACAATCTTAATGTAACTTAAACGAACTGTACTTGTCACTTAAGTTACAATGCTCGGAACATTCGTATTATAATGATACCTGACTTAGTGCTGTTCTGGCTACATCATAATATTCAAAATTCAAAATATCTTTATTCATGTACTATTACAGACGCTTATGATATGTCAAATCTACCGTCAGTTCCGAATGATTTCGAGACAAGAAGAACTGACAAGAAATTCAGCTCGTATTCTTTTCAAGTAATGTTGTAAATGTTTACAATAATACAGATTCGTGTTGAAATTCAAATTTGGGAGAATAGAGTGACACCAGTATATGCTATTACAATTTTGTCAAAAGCAAATCGTCTAATCAGTGTTCGTAACCCGAACTAGTCCCCACAAGCAGGACCCGTTCATGCGTAAGACGGATGAATATCATGAGTGTATACGACATATGATATTATGGATTAATGTAACGTTATATACTAAAGTACGTTTTTATATTCATAGAAATGTGAGTTAAAGAGAAAAAAACTAGTTTAATATACTTTCCATTTCAACAAAATTCGTATGTACATAAGACAACATTTCTATACATAGGCACTTAACGAGAAGCTCTTTACTGTCTACCTTAGAAACAAGGAAAAGTGGATAGGCACTTTGTTTCAATATACCTAATTTACGTTCGCTTCCGTTAGTTAACTTTCGTATCCACAATGTTGTTATTACTCTGCAATTAGAGTAACTTGATAATGACTCCATGAGGTTGAGGATATATTAACGTGACAATAATATCAAACACTAATTAACTTAAGTGCATATTTGTTACAAATTATTGGAACTATTAAAAAAAATACAATTACTCAAGTGTTAATTGTTACGCGTATGTAAATAAAATAATTGTAATAAATGCAACATGTTAGCAGCTTGCTATGCTATGCTTGCAATGTCATGTAAGGTTAACCTCCACGCGGCCGCCCTGGAAACCATTCTGGTAATTGACCACGATGGGCTGATTGATCTAACGTCATCCTCATCTTATCATCCTCCACTGATGACCCGCCAGCTTGTGCTGTTAGCGCAAGCGAGCGTATATACCATATTCATCCATCAAAGAAAAATCTTAATCTTGAAGATTATAAGTCCCATTTACTTAAATTGTCTGTATATAGATATATTTTATTGGATGTGATATTGATTTGGTTTCAATTCGATTGCGTCAAAATACGGTCTGCAGTGTTATGCTCCGGGCGCAAATAGGTAGGTACTAATGAGTGTTACCTACATTAGTGAAATTGCTTGCAATTTAGTATCAAATCGCAGTTTAAACAGTTGCAAACATTTTTAATGATTAGGAAAGATATGATAAGATACCACATTTTCTAATTCACACAAGCAAAGTCAAGGCATTCATGTAATTTGTAATAAACGTAAACGAGACCGGAAATCACCGGTGCCAAAGCTCTAAAGCTGACGGGTCACTATCACACCAACAAAGCAGATTTCATTGAAGAGAACTAACTTTCAGAACTAGTTTCATGCATAATGCAAGAAACTACTTTCATAATGTAAATTAGGCTTAAAATTTGAGTACGCTGTTGAATAATGCATTTTAATTTTGGAATATCTCCTCGTAGAGAGTTCGTGTTATTCGCAATTCGACTAACAACTCATACGGTCGCACGCAGTAACCGACAACGTAATGTGTACAATTTGGAACATGCTTTTACATTTCGTATTACGAGAAATGAAAAAAAATTAGATTACCTTTCACAATTCAACTCTTGATGAAAGAGTATCTACACATACAAATAAAATTGGAGTGTCTGTTTGTAATATTAAAATAACCGTTTTTTACTACATGCACACGAATATAAATACGGTACATACACCAAAATAACATTTTTTACAATTTTTGTCTGTCTGTCTGTTTGTTCCGGCTAATCTTTGAAATGGCTAGACCGATTTTCACGGGACTTTTATTATTAGCAGGTAGCTGATATAACAAAGAGTAACTTAGGCTACTATTATTTTAGAAAAATAAAGTTAAATACAATGCGGACGAAGTCGCGAGTACCGCTAGTATTATATACATATTTATAAATGACAATCCTGTTAAATTTTGAATGTCCATTAATCTGATATAGGGCATTATAATTATATTTATGTAATACATTTCTTATAATTATTTAATGGTAGGTAAGTAAAAAAAATACTTTGTTATAGCTAGGTACTATTTAAACAGTACATAGAAGATAACCTTTATAAAAGGATTCTACGAAACATATTGTGCGTGAAATGTGGGAGGTAAGAACATAAACCGAAATACGCTATTTAAACCTTATAATAATAAAGTATGAATGTGTTAAACCTTACATTCTTACTTTTACGACAACATCTAATATTATGACTGTGCATAAGAAATAAGTTTTTTTATGACCGGATGCCAATATTAAACTTGTATGAAAAATATTGCTATATGCGATCGTGTTCATATTACAACTGTAACATACGTAGTAGCGAAATACGTAGAATTTCGTTTTATACCAGGTACCAATTTTCACTTTTATTTTAGGATCAGCATTTTAGTAGAATATTCTTAATTAAAAAGAACCGACAAGTTTTTCCGCTTCGGATAAATAGATAGATGAATTTTTTCTATTCCATTTGAAATTCAAGTACATTTCTTTGTGTTTATGTATGTCAAATCTGTTATGTATACTGGTATATTAGTAGATAAATTAACTACAAAAAGCTCTAGCCTCATTTACAGATTTTACTTTTTTATGTGATTAGTATTACAAGTTGACGGCCCTACTGATGGCAAGTAGCAACATTTGGTATAGAGGCAAAATGACCCACTGAATCACTACGTTACGACCGTAGTACCCCTCACGCGTTTTTTCACTCTCCGACCAAAACACCGCTTGGTGTAAATAGGCGATAGAGACAACATTACATAAACGCGGTATACACTATCTGACACCCCTCCCGTCGATCATAGCGGTGCCTTGAGACTAAAGTCGTATCCGTCAGACAAGAGTCTTTCCGTGGGTTTAGTGAAAGACAGCTGCGGCCAAAAACATTCGAGTAGTCCGAAAAAAATCTCTCAGACAGTTAAATAAAATAATACATAGTGGCAAATGAAATAATAACTAACCTGTAACCGCTGCGTATGCATTATTCGTCGGCCATTAACGTACACGTGCGCATCCGCGTGCAGTGGGGTCACAGTGTAACCTCCGCCCTCCCCTGTGGTGACCACGCAGTGTCGGGGCTGGATGGACGGCCCGTATAGTTGGAGTGTCGTCCCGTTGCCGGATCCCACCTGCATAAAAATAATATACCGTCACTACTGATATCCTAGATGACCCTCTCTAGAATAACAGCGTTAATAACTGGCGATGTCGTGGCGGCGACGCAACACTAGATATGATCACAATTCGCTGGGTATATTAGAATCCTATGTGCGATATGCTATGGAGAGACCCTACTGCAGTCTTTAGTATTAATTTTTGTTCAATATCAATCTATACTTATACATAGAACATCGGAAACAGTCAAAAATATAAATTGACGTTTTTTTATTATTGGCCAGATTTGAATGCACGGTAGGTTAGGTTAATAGATTATTTGTGTTGTGATCTCAATTATGCAGGATAAGTAATATGAATTTTCTGAAACAAGTTATATTTATGACACGAGTTATATAAAATTGGAGAAAAAAGAAATGCGTGTGGCAGTGAGCACTCTAAAAACTATCTAAGATCTTAATATTAAAAAAAGTGTTTCATAGACATCTGTTTTTATTTTTAGTTATTTCATATTATAATTTACTTTTTATATACATATGTTAATAAATACAAAATTAATCCCTTGTTATTACTATTTTACGTTATAAATACGTGTTCAAACACGTATAAAGAGGTAATCTATGAGTCTCGTGTAGAAAACACAATTACTCATACTTATAAAAATACTTCGTTAAGAAAACCAATACAACTTTGAAACATCTAAATAGAATAAAGCATATGTTTTTACTGACCTCAACGACATCTGTGATGCGTATGCGGCGGCCGTTTTCGAGGGTGGTGCCGTCGGTGGCCACTTCCAGCAGTACGGGGTCATTGCCGGGCCGCCCGCCGCTACCTATGGAGCCGCTCGCCTTTTTCTTTCGCCGCCTCGGTTGCGCGTCCGCCGGCCGCCGCCGCACGTGGAACATGATGGAGCCTGTACACAACATTAACATTTTTTAGTGAATAGAAATACAAATAATCTAAAAAAATCATTCTTGTTTTTGATACTTCAATTCATTCTTTCTGTTCCTAATATGTTAGTTGTCTATTATTAATATATTTTCTCCGTTTTACCAAGTCTTTTTTCTTATTATTACAACAGATACTTTGCGTTGAGGGAAATGTTTAAAGTGTTCATTTACACACTTTAAACATTTCCCTCTCCGTTAGTTTGTTAACAATCAAACAACGTTAAAAGGGCAACGTCGAACAACGTCTCACAAATGCAAAAACAAGAAATAGTATAAGATTATAAATACAGCTAAAATTACAGTTGAATAATATTGAAAGGAGAAAATGTGAGGCGCCTAACATGCAACCACTCCGTTATCCAATTACAAGGCGCCGAATGTGAATTATGTTATGTAAAGCGAAGACGGTAAAATGGCATAATACAATTTAAGCACATTTCAGGAGTATTACAGTATTACATTCGATGAAGACGTGTGAGGTTAAGTGCAGTGGTGGTTATGCGCGAGAGGGCGGTTTGGGGTGTAGGGGGGAAACTTACGGGCTAAACGAACCGAGCCCGCCGAGCGCCTCTAGTGTCAACATCATTAGCGTGCACATTGTCGTGCTGTCGTAGCCGCCGCGCCACTACAGTTACGAGGCCTCTACGCCATATTACTTTCGTAGATGAATCAAAGATATAGCATCAAGAAAGTTTCGTTCCATCAAAAATTCTTTCGGCGTTCATTCATCAAAGTAAAGAACAAACACAATCAATCATTGAGGTAACTGATGCCTGTTATGGTTCTGATCGATTCAACAAACGAAAGCATCGCAGTATGAATTAATGGTTAATCGACAACACAGTTGCGATATAGGCAGTTCCTTTTGTTACTTTGTATGCTGTTGCCTAAGAATAATAAATACGTAGGCTGTTCCCTAGCAGATACGTAATAATCAACTTACGAATGAAAATCAATGTTGGCATATTACCACAGAATACATAATAATCTACTCCACTACATATTAATTTTGTATAGGAATACTGAGTAATATCCTCTGAAGTAAATAAATGATAACATATGTACTTACTTGAAAGACAATAATTATATTATATTATATTCATTGTATTAATTACTTAGATGTAAATAATATAATAATAGTACTAAAGTAAAATTAAAGTATTACGATATTATATAACAATTTTGAATTAATTAAAGCTTGTTTAATAAAAAATGCAAATAATATCCATATCGAATATGGACATTATTTGCTATAATAATATATACGTGTAACAATGTATTCGATGTAATTTTATAATTCTACTTCATGGTTTTCTATTAAAAATCAATATAAAACCACGCATAGAATTATAAAAACCTGACGTGGCGATGGGCTATTAACAATTTATTATTAGCTATTGTGACGCTGATATTAATAATTAGCGTTTAGCGTCTACAAGCCCACACGTTTTCTAACAGTCAAGCCATGTTTTGAAGGAAGTACATACTAGTAGTACACCGTGTCAGAGTGACCCCGTTACCTAAATACATTATTAGCTGTACAAATACACTTAAGAACTGGAAAGAATCGTAGATATTATTCTAATTGTTGCTGTCTAAACTATTTATAGTCATTATACTTGCCTATAAATGAAAATTCGCATCATAATGTTTGCAGGGAAAAAAATCTAAAACTACTAACTATACGAGTACGTAAGTTAGTCAGTCAGCCAATAATAGCATATATAATATAATTAGTCAGTGATCCACTGTGTCATTTGACCAAGTTAAAATACAGGAGAGGTTATATCCTAATAACTTTCAATATTTTTATTTTCTAATAATGAGGAATGAGGATTCGGCAGAACAGTTTGCCTCCTGGTCAGTTAAAATAACGTACTTGTAATGAAACTTATCTCTATGCATAACATAAAGAGGCTTAATCTGACTGTTAACATTAACTGCATAGCCGCCTAACAACTGGAGGTTTGAATGAGGTTTCAAATCTAACGTTTTAATACAATAGAGCTTTATTAGCCCTAGCTTTCGAAAGAGGCATACTTACTCGTATGTATCGTAAGTTCAGATACAGGTTTCTTTATTACTAACATTAACAATAGCTTTCTTTATACTAATTAAGATCAAAATTCCTACTACTCACAAAAGGAGGCAACGGGTATACACCAACAAAAACGGGTGATAATGCTATTATTTAGTTATGGCAGAACTCATCAATTACTCAACTAAATGCATGTGAAGCGTCTATCTACACCCAACGTGAAAGTAACGCATACGTTATTAATAGGTCGTACCATACCATCCCTATAACGATCTTCAGGGATGGCAGAACATAGTTATATTCTGTGATGATGGTGTTACACGAAAACTTATTATTCATCCATTAGTAAAAAATCGGTTAAGTTTTAAAAGCTAACATTCAGCAACAAAGCAGCTAACAAGAAAATATTCAGTCAATTTCATACTTTACAGGCCACGAGTAAATGATGTAGGCTTAAAACAGCCACACAACCGTAGTGTATGAATTATTGATAAATTAAATCCGGCTAAATGAATGTTCTACATAGGATTTATAGCTACGTACTGAATACATATGAAATAACACAGTGTTGATTGGATTTGATTGGAAACGCTACCTGTATTAAAAGATTTTCTACGCTAATATAACGCTGACACTTGACGAATGTGTTCACCTTCATGTCGACTGTGCAAAATTAATGGCAACATGGTAATAACGTAATGCGTTTATACGTATAATCCATTCTAACGTGTGTGACATGTATATGAGTAGAAAGAGATAAAAATACAAATAGTTTACGCGACATATTCACGCAATGACCTTCTACTGAAGTATACACCTATAAAACCGTATTAATCTACACTTTTCACTATTAAAACCGACTTGTGTAGCGACCAGTACTAATTGCACAAAACGGACCATTATGAAATCATATATTTTCACAGAATCTAATAGAGTTTTACCGAGTACTATTTCTTTTTTTTCGTTCCTGAGCCGGGAACTAAAAGATCTGTTGAGGAACATATTCGATGTTGGACTGATGTATACAGGCCATCGCGTAGTTATTTGATCGCGTGCCCGTGGTACGTAAGTTCAAATAGACGATCTAATTGAAACTGACACACCACCGCTACGTCATAACACCACCGATACCACTTGTCCACCAATCGTAAGCAATGCAGTGCAAGCTGGGGCTGTTATAATTAATTTGTGTTGCCGCGGTAGGAACACATACTTTTTTCTTTATATATATATAAATAAATATACATGACCCAGTTACAATTATAATCTATATTCTACAGAATAGGTATTCCTAGTATGAGTAGGTTCTTACCTATATTGAATTTAAGAATTTGTAAAGACTAAATAGATAGACTTACTTTGCACTGATTACAGTTTTTCTAGAGCAGTTATTGTCAGTAATATTTTGGTAATATACCGTTAAATATATACAAGGTCAAATCATATAAATAAAATATCTGTGCTCATAGCAAAACAATGTAGAATACTGGTTTTAAACAATGGCAGGCATTCTTGGCTCAAAAGTGCACTGAAGCGAATAAATTATAAGAAATAGGGCACCGGCATAGAGCATTCATAATAATTAATGAACCGTCCTATATATAAAAATAAGATTGTAGTGAACGAGGTATTATAGTAATAGTTTCAAGTTACGTATGTACAGAATCAGAATGAAATATGATATCAGAGGCATATGATGGAAACACCTTTCATTACAATCACCAACACTAATTACTCGGTCATCCCATAAATAGTTGCGCTTCAGTCAGTGGAACTGTTGCCGTTCCGTCTTTCTCTAAATAAATGTTGATTCGACACAATCAATTTTACTCCTATTCTGTAAGATATAACTTTGTCGTGGTCTACCTTTTGCCCTTTTCCTTCAATAACAATGTTCATAAGTTCACAGTGCCGTATCATATTTCTGAACTTTTCCATATCTGTTTACATCTACCTTAATTTGGAAATAATTAAAACTAAATATTATAGAAGAATGATATATAATAAGAAGAATGATAAGAATAATATATTATAGAAATAAGATAACATTGTTATATTGATTTAGTTGTCAAAAAATAAAAGCTCTCTCGACACTTCACAAACGTCATTCTCGATGCGAAATTAACTCGGTCCGGTCAATCCTGACAAATTGGTACGTGAAGAGGCTAGTTCGGTCTAACGCGAGGACGCGTCAGTGTGTGTATGCTAAGAACAGGCATTCGCGACTCGACATATCGGTTCCACCGACGAGGTGCCAAATAGTGTCATGTTTTAATAAATAACGAATCCGCAGATCCAACCATTCTCTACAAAAATAAAATAAAATGGCAATTCCATATACATAATAAAGTATTTAAGTGTTGTATTTTTTTAATACAACTAAATTAATATATCTGTATTTAGATATTGAATTATTAAATATAAACAATAAAAAAATGTATACAGAATATAAATAATAAATATTGAATTAAATGTATTAATAACAGTATAATCTATATTTTTATATAGAAGTAAATTTATGTGAGATTTCCACAAGCTTGCCATAATATGCTACTAGAAATATATTACATTGAAGCACTAAGGGCGGGCGGGTATTCTCGTCAGTGCGCGCTGGGCGTGTGCGTGAGGTATCTAACATCGCGTGCTAACGTGATCCTAATAAGTATACTTGTAAACTTACAAACGTTACCTGTTGCTTCATATGAACAAATGGCCACTCATAATTTAACAGAACTGTTCGATAAAATCAGAAGATTTTTAATCTCTCAAACGAAATAATTTGGAAGCTAATGTAACTACTATGTCGGGAAAAGTTATTCTAGAAATTTGGCAAATTGGTTATTGCATGACTGTTGCGAGCCAAATTAGAAATGGGCATAATGACCAAGAGCGCCACAATATCCTTTTTAATATTGATAATATTAG